GTGCACCTCAGCAGCAGGAGAGGAGTGGCTCCACCTTAAAGTCAGGCAGAAGTAAAGAGGATTCGGAAAGTTTAATAAGGTTCCCATAAGCAAATGGAAATAAATGTGTAAGAATTCGCCAAGCCAGACTTCGACTGATCTCAGCTCATCTCGCCTCTCCTCTGGGAGCAGTTTGGGATTATGAGGACCAGGAAATGACTTATTTCCACTTTCTTGGTTTAAATGAGCGAAGGTTTAAGTACCGGTACACCTTAAAGGGAGTGGTAGAAAAAAAACTCCCCCAGAAATATGTCATTTAATTCAAATCACAAAATAAATGAAATAAAAATTACTTCCATTGCATTTGTTTATGCTCTTGGAAAAGTTTTCCTCTTATGCAACATTCAGTCCGTTAGCTGGATTCTGTGCTGACAAGCCCAGAAAAAAAGATTTTGTGGGATTTCAGGAAATCTGAAAACATATCCAGTTATTCAAAGCTGCTGCAGCCGTTATGTGAGTGGGGATTCACCACAGGTGCAAAGAAATTCATAGCTTAATGCTAATTATAGATTAATCTGTATTATTCACACCAATGTCAGATGTGAAGGAAGGGAAGAGATTTTAAACTCTAAATGAATCACTGAACCTTCTCCTGTAGCCACTGAGCACATCTCAATGTTTTTGCTACGATGGATCATCTTTGGGGAGCCCTTAATGTCACCATTTTCTGAAATGTATCCTAAAGTTAGTTTTTAAGTTAAAGTTTCAGGGACGAAAGTAAAGTGATGTGTAAGATGTGCAAACCTGTAACACCAGCTGACTGTGTGTGTGTTTTAAGAACATTGGACAGCTGAAACTCTGTTGAAAGCCATTTTCACACACTTCGCTGGAGCTTTATGGAAAAGTCGTGTGGGGATATACAGCGTGTGAAAAAATGCTCCAAGGGGAAAGATTTCCCATCAGGAAGGATTGTGTGGCGAGTTGGGTTTCAGAATAATTTATCAGACAAGATTCCAGAACCAAAGATCTCCTGAAAACGTTCAGCACTGATGTGTGAAAATGGCTAAGATAACATTTACAGCTACGGCTAATGATGCAGATCTGATCTTTGAGCAAAAGTCAAACTTTAGATGTAAACTTTTCGGCTTACTGTGATTGTTTTTTCTCCTTTTAAACAAATACGGTCCTTTGATATTAGCTTCGAACACTCTTTCCATTACTGCATAGTTCTGCAGGCTCTGGGACTGCTAAGGCTACACTGTTGAAGATACTTCAGTACTTTCTGCTTTCGGACACAAACGGTCTCCTCCTTCGTGCCGTTCGTCCCGTGGCCGCTCCACCTGTGTCGCCGTAGCCACCGCTGTTCGATCCAAATATTTACGTCCAATCAGAAGTGGTTCTGAAACATTTAGAATAAACGAAACGGTGCGCCGAGATGGATTGTGGGTAACTTGGTTCCAACGGGGACACGACAAACCCATTTAAAAAAAAAAAAAAAAAAAAGTCATGGAACATTTAATTGATCCTTCTCTTGTATTACAATGTAAAAGAGCATAATTCCCCATCAAGTCAAACACCAAAACCCTGATCCATAAAGTCTCTGAACCGAAACCTAAAGTCTCCCTCTGACAGCAGAATCAGTAAAGTCAGACGTGATTAGTTTGAAGAAAACACAAGAAAATGGTGTCCAAGGAGACAATTAAAAGAAAAGAAGAAAAAAAAATATGATGGTGGCCAAAATGAAAACTTTAAGTTGGAAACATTGAACAAAAAAAAAAAAAAAAAAAAAAAAAGGAAAAAATTTAAACAACAAATTTTGGCCCCGTGGGGGGGTGTGGGGG